GTGACTACGTAACGAACGAGCCACTTCGTCGACGAGTCGTTCGAAGTAATCAAGGAATAGAAAAGGTAAACGAGCACCTTCAAGGAAAGGAAATGCGCTCGGGAAACGAAACGGAATTCGTGGCATCGAAAAAAAAGAAAAAAGAAACAAGAAGAGGAAGAGCATCGACAACCCGTAATTCGTTCGCTCGCGCAAATAGATTGTGTTTAGAGTATCCATATCTAACAGGAGTTCTATGAAAATGCGAACGCGAAGATTATGTTATAAACAGTGTGTCGGATAATGTCAATGATGGATCGCTTAACGCAGGTGTAACAGTAAACAGGATGATAATTCGTTTTTCAGTTAATCGATCCTTATTATAATAATTAATATCTGGCATTCGCATTATTTATTTATTATAATGAATTATAAAATATTAATATATCACTCTCTTCTATTAATCTATTATTCTCTCTATTGTGTGTATTAGATGTATTAAATAAAAGCTTTCAGGTTAATTTTTTAACTCAAAATATGATTTTGTAAAGACATTGCAATTTGGAGGTGTTAAAGCCGGATTAGCAAATTTAACAATATTTAAAAAGATTTGTTAAAAACTCTCCAACTCTGTTATTATCAGAGCTCTGCATTTTTTACAAAACTGTGTTACGATAGCTCTTTAGAAATACTTTACCGATGATAATATGAATAGCATGACAATTACGTGAGTAGCATTGAAACGACGACGCAGCAGCATAGAAATTAACTTCAAAGCCATAAAAAATGAGAAAAAGATTTGAATTGCCGCTCTCTTGAGTTTCTTTAATAGGAAAGTTATTCCACTTGTAACTCTTGGCGCCTCATAATTATGAACCGAGTGAATTAAAGACCGTATCACGCACAAGAAAAAAGCAGGTCGATGATAAAAGAAAATATATGATACATCTTTAAAATATTCTGTTCCACGTGTTTGTTTTAATTTCTTAAATAATATAATATTTCATAATTGTACGATAAATTTCACATTAGAAAAACTATTTATCGCAAAAAGGAACTGTTTATGATAAACACAAAAAAGTGATAGATGAATAAGATTCGTGTCAAATATCTTTCAGATGTCTTTATATTATAATTACAATTATATACAAACGCAATTTTTTAACTCACATCAAACACACACGCCCCGTTATATATTAATTGTTTTTTCGCCGAATTATATTTCGCATAACAGCAAAACATCATCGTTCATTACAATGATTTATAAATTCTGCATTAACCATCACATTAACTGGGTCGGCGTTGCAGCACATGTAATAACTAATTAATTCGGCAGAATAATTTAAATTATGACCTATCTGTCAGTTGGAAATTCGACATCGTCAGCTATTTCATCGGTCATAATTAAATTAGAGCATATGACGGCCAAATTATGAAGCACGGAGAGCAAGTCGGATTATTTTGTAAAGATTTTTGGAGCTTGCCATGAATCGAATGAACTACGAATAAAGTGCTTTTTCCGTCTCACATCATAAATAATTTTTGTTTGCTGTCTCGACGGATATTTGCCCATGTGCGTATAAAATAAATATTTAAAATAAATATCCCTATAATGGCGAGAGAAAAAAACTTTATGTACGTACGTAGAGTTTGTTTCGTCAGAATAAAATTTTCCCACCGTGCTGCGTTAAAATGAAAGCCACAGCATCGCGTTTAATTTGGAAAAATATACCGCTCAATTTAATACCTGTGAAAAATAAATTCGTCAAAATGCGAAACGTCTCTCTGAACGAATATATATAAGTAATCATCACCAATTCTCCCGTTTCTCAGATCAAATTCAACGTAATAATTAACAAAGTAAATAACAAAGTAAAACAAGAGAGATCCCGACGTAAAAAAGTATTACAGTATTTTCGCGATCAATATATATTTTCTAATCCCTATTAAACATTTGTGTAAAATTTTGGCTAAAGATGTATGAATCACTTTTAAGAAATTTTTAAGAAAACAAAAATTAGTTGACGTGCAGAAAAACAAAGAATATGGTGAATTTTTGTATTAAATTCTAGTGAATAATGAAATTCTGCTAAACGATGATTTATCACGACTTTGGTGAAATTTAATCAAGGTAATATATTATATATACAACTAAATCAAATATTACTGATTAATACTTTTGCCCAAAATTATAATTTTTTTTTTCTGTATCTTGTATCGCAATTTCTTATATTAATAATCAAGCGATTTAACGCTACAATATATATTCGATGTGAATTCCCAGCGAATAATCGGTGGATGAGTTAAGTAACTTAAAACGTCATAAATATATGCAACTACTATGTAATAGCAGCCGAGTCTTAAAGATTCATTAATAAGAGGAGATAACCGCTTTATACAAAGCGATTAATCATAGCACGAGACGCTCGTGCCGAGCTTTATGGAACCGTTAAACACAGCCAGCGAGATAATACGAGAAGGCGATCTTTTTTTAGTATTTTATTTACCGACACTTGAAGCTCTCCCGTTCTTTCTTCTTTCTTTTCATTTTCGCGCGCGCCTCGTCCGATCATTCGCATTCCCTTATTTTAAAACAGCATTTCGGATGCGCTTGTCCGATTATGGCGATCCAATAATTAAGGGGAATGGATCTGTAATTGGAGTTACGAGCAAACCTTCGCAATTGTAGGAAGGAGAATAAATATTCAACTGCGTCCGAGCGCAACCGGGACGAGGTAAATGAAAATGTATCGCTCGAAAATCTTTAATTTGCGAAAAACGTTTCGCATCCACGTGATATAATATTGCTCCGTTTCATAAAGGGGATCTGGTTATTTCCTGGTAAAAAGATAATTCGCGAAAAAAGTATTTCACAGCGTGGCGCCGGAATATTTCACGTTATTAAAAAAACTTTATGATAGAGTTGATCTTAAATATACATTGACAGGTCTGATTATTTTAATGACATTTTTTAATGTTCAACTGTAGATTATGGGAGGGAAAAGATGTAAATGATAACTGATCTTAGTGGTAAAACTGATAATATAAGAATAATACGAAAACATATAAAAAGATGTATGAATAATTAATCAACATCACATCCGATGTATAATATCATTTGCGATCGAACTGAACTTTGATTACATTAGTTCCCCGAAACTCCGAGATAACTCGATAGTCGTTAAACAGGAGTTTTGGCTTAATCGCGACCGCGTGAAATAACCGCGCCGATAATAAAAGTCGAGAGATGAACTATGTACATCCCAATGTTATCGTAGTACGTAGTCTTAATCGCAGCTTAAACGTTCTCACGATATGCATCCCTGTGTATTTTTATCTTTAAATATTGTTAAATGTGTATCGATGATTCAAGATGTAGGAAACAGAAAGTAGGTTACGGAAAACCTTTGTATGCATATTCTATCAGAATGCATTTTCGATAGCTGCATGATAGTGTAAGCGTTTTCTCTCCGTCGCTATTTCTCTACGCAACATAATCATCTCGCTTCTTCCTTTTCGTACACGTCTACACGCACTTTGCGCACAAGTAAGTACACTCTATTTCCAATTTTTTTTCTTATTTGCGCTTATCTAACATTGGATATTTGACGTAAGTTATCTTTTATTATTTTAGCAAAGTGAGAAACGCTGACTTAGCATAATTGTGATCGATAAATAGAATTATTCATATCGATGTATCCCCGTTACTGTTAAAATTCTGAAAATGTTAGTATTGAAATAAAATTAGATAAATAAATCATTTACTTAAATATGAAAAGATATCTAAGAAACGTTTAAAATATTGGAACGTCTTTCAGATATTCTTTCGCAACATCCTTTAGGCGTTTGACGTGTCTATTACCCGCCTAAATGCAACACAGAAATGTGAAAAACGCATAAGAGATATCTGGGGAATGCTCTCTAGATATCTTAGATCGTGCCTTTTAGACAGTTTTCTTGCTGGGTGTAGTGTATGCTATATAAATGGATGTGTATATATATATATA